AGGGAGGGAGAAAGGGGAAGGTAGGGAGGGGAGGGAACGAAGGGAAGGAAGGAAGGAAAGAAGGAAGGAAGCAAGGAAGAGAAGGGAGGGAGGGAGGGGGAAGGAAGAAAGGGGAAGGGAGGGAGAGAGGGAAGAAAGGAAAGAAGGAAGAAAGGAAGCAAGGAAGGGGAAGGAAGGAAGGGAAGAAGGGAGGGAGGGAAGAAAGGAAAGAAGGGAGGGAGGGAGGGAGGAAGGAAGAAGGGAGGGAGGAAGGAAGGAAAGAAAGAAGGAAAGAAGGAAGCAAGCAAGCAAGCAAGGGAGGGGCAGAGAAGGGAGGGAGGGGGAAAGAAGAAAGGAAGGAAAGAAGGGAGAGAGGGAAGAAAGGAAAGAAGAGAGGGAGGGAGGGAAGGAAGGAGAAAAAGTCTGATTAATTTAGCAAAAACAGCCTGGTGGTTCCAAGAAAAGATTTTAAAACATGATTGTGCCCTTACAGAGACCAAGGTCGCAGCCTCCTCCCCTTGGCCTTCTTGCAGAGACCCCTGGCCCCACCACGGATGGGGAGGGACGGAGGCATCTCTGGCCCCCCTCCCAGGGAAGAGGCTGAGGGTGGGGGAGAGCGGCAGCAGCCATTCTCTGTCCTTCCCCCAGAGGCCTGGCTTGCCAAGAGGACAGCCTCCCCTCCCTCCCCAAGGCCTGGGCTCACCTTGGCTTTCTTCAGCACCAGGATGATGGCGTCCTCCGGGTCCGCCTTGGCCTCTCCCCCCTCGGCGTCCCCCTCGCCCGCCTTCTTCGCAGGTTCCCCGGAGAAAAGGAAGAAGGCTGGAAGAGGAGACAGGGGGCAGAGGCTGGCATGGGAGAGGGCAGGCGCCGGGTCTCTGCATACCCCCAGGCAGAGAAAAGGGGGCCCAGGGCAGAAGCCCCTCGGCTGGCATGGGTCTCTGCAGGGGCAGCTTCCAACCGCGGCTTTCAGCCCCCTTCCCTGCCACAGGCTGCCAGCCCAGCCATTCAGAGAGGCTGCCAAGCTTAAAGCCGAGATGATTGTACAAGACACCAACACAATTCCTCAGCTAGGATAGTTAACTGAGAGATTCTGGGAATTGAAGTCCACACATCTAAGAGAAACTAGCTGGGGGATTCTGGGAGTTGAAGTTCGCCCATCTTAAAGCATGCTGGCTGGGGAATTCTGGGAGTTGAAGCCCACCCCTCTTAAAGCATGCTGGCTGGGGAATTCTGGGAGTCCACCCCTCTAAAAAGTTGCCAAGTTTGAAAAAAAAATGATCTAAAATTAAAACAAAAATCAATAAGAGTTCTTGCATGTCTTTAAAACAGCCTCCTTCCAGAGGGATTGTTACTCCATGCCCATCAGCCTCTACCCATGTTGGCTGAGGATAATAGTAGACTCTAGAAAGAGTGCAGAGAAGAGCAACAAAGATGATCAGGGGACTGGAGGCTAAAACATATAAGGAATGGTTGCTGGAATTGGGTCTGTCTAGTTTAATGAAGAGGACGAGGGGGGACATGATAGCAGTCTTCCAGTATCTCAGGGGTTGCCATAAAGAAGAGGGAGTCAAGCTGTTCTCCAAAGCGCCTGAAGGCAGGACAAGAAGCAACGGGTGGAAACTGACCAAGGAGAGAAGCAACCTGGAACTAAGGAGAAACTTCCTGACAGTTAGAACAATTAACCAGTGGAACAACCTGCCTCCAGAAGCAGTGAATGCTCCAACACTGGAAGTTTTTAAGAAGAGACTGGACAGCCATTTGTCTGAAATGGTGTAGGGTTTCCTGCCTGAGCAGGGGGTTGGACTAGATGACCTCCAAGGTCCCTTCCGTTCCAACTTTATTATTATTATTATTATTATTATTATTATTATTATTATTATTATTATTATTATTATTATTATATGGGCAGCTGGGGGAGGGAGGGGGAAAACTGACTTTTATTGATTTTTTTTTTAAGATCCAGAACTTGCAAGCCTCTTTCTTGGCTTCTTTTCAATCAATTTGTTGCCTTAATTCATAATGTAATGAAATAGTTTGTTTTTTTTTAGAAAAAAACTTATTTTCAATCAATCAGCCAATGTTACAATACCGCCATTCAATTTATGCCTCGGAGGCCCCGCCCACATTGGAAACCACGCCCACTCCTCCTACCCTGAGTCGCCATTGGAAAAGGAGACACGCCCCCTTTACCTGATAGGCCGAGGCCGCTGCCAACGCTGACGGCTCCTCCCACTGCCGCTTGGCGGGGCGTCCTTCGGCTTTGGCCTCCGTTTCTGCCCGGCCGGGGCCTCGCTTGCGCCAGGCGGTGTCGGGCGGCCACGGCGGCCGCGGCGAGGCCTCGTTGCGGCAGCCGTAGGAGCGGCGACAAAAGAGACATGGCCCTTTAAGAGGAGGCGGAGGAAGGAAGAAGCAGCAGGGTGACCCTGGCGACGACGGTGACGTCACTCCCTCGGCACGTGATCAGGGAGCCGACGCCAGAGCAGGGAACGTTCAGGCACGTGAGTCCATCGCTCGATTCATAGACTACTTCTGATAGAGTGGTGCAGCGTTGAAGTCTTGCGAGATGTTTTTGGCACCACGTGAGAAAAAACGAGCTAAATGTTAGTTGTTTACTTCACGGATTTATATCTCTGTGGGAAGGAGAAATTGGCTTATTCGGAAACATTCATTACTTGCCAAATATCGGATACTCCACGTCGTTTTCCTGCCCTCGGCTTTTGAAAGGCTCATTCTACACTTTTCTAGCTCTCCGTTCGTTCTGCTGTGCGCATGCGCAGAGTAGGCCATACATAAAACGTCACTTGAGCATCAGGTGCTTTTAAATTAATCCGCCACGCGAGGCGCTCGACGTCGGCGCCACCGCGCTCCCTCTCTACGTACGTTAGTGGGCGGTGGAAGAGAAGGCGGGATCGCACGTGACTGAAATTAGCCACTCAGGTCAGCGCAGGGAAAAGCTTTGTTGCTAGGCAACGGCGCGACACACGGGCCTTCCTTTTTGGAGCACCTCTCGGTTCCCGCCTCGATTTGTTTTCAGTTTTGTACAAAACTGCTCGTGTTTTAATTTTTATTTTTTTTTTAGAAAAACACAAAACCTCCAACACTAGCCACCTCATGTCAAACTTTACACCGTATCTTTGTACCGTCGCTTTAAAAAAACACGAGTAAAGTTGATAAAATAATAAAATTATCAGGAGAATTAGTTTTTTTAAAAAAAGAAATTAATTACGAATACAGGTAGTCAGTCCTCGACTTGCAACCATTCATTAATTACAAAGGCACTGAAAAAAATGAGTTATGGCCAGTCCTCACACTTACGACCGTCACAGCATCTCCACAACTCACACGATCAAATTCAGTTGCTTGGCAACTGGCGTGTATTTACGACCAGTTGTGACATTCCGGGGTCATTTGATCAACATTTGCCACCTTCCCAGCTGGCTTCCAACATGCAAAGTCACTGGGTAGCTGGATTTGCTTGATAATGATAATAATAATAGTAATAGTAATAGTAATAATAATAATAATAATAATAATAATAATAATAATAATAATAATAATAATAATAATAATAATAATAATAATAATAATAAAGTTGGACAGGGACCTTGGAGGTCATCTAGTCCAACCCCCTGCTCAGGGAGGAAACCCTATACCATTTTGGACAAATGGCTGTCCAGTCTCTTCTTAAAAGCCTCCAGTGATGGAGCATTCACCGCTTCTGGAGGCAGGTTGTTCCACTGGTTAATTGTTCTAACTGTCAGGAAGTTTCTCCTTAGTTCTAGGTTGCTTCTCTCCTTTCTTAGTTTCCATCGGTTGCTTCTTGTCCTGCCTTCATGTCCTTTGGAGAATAGCTTGACTCCCTCCCTCTGATGATCACCTTATTCACTTAACAACTGCAATGATTCACTTAATAACCATGGCAAAACGGTCGTAAAATCGGGCATGGCTCACTGAACCATTGCCTTGCCCAGGAATGGAAATTCTAGTCCTTATTGTGTTCTGAAAATTCTGTAGCTTAAAAAAAACAATAGCATTTTAAAAGAAATTAAACCTCACATAAAAATGAATTAGATTTTAGAGGCCGCTAGGAGGTTTTCTTCCCAATACAGGTCATTCCCCGACTTATGACGATCCCAAAATTTCTGTTGCTAAGTGAAAGAATTTTTAAATGAGTTTTGCCCCATTTTACAACCTTTCTGGCCCCAATTGTTAAGTGAATCATTGCCACTGCTAAGTTAGTAACATGGTCGTTAAGTGGATCTGACTTCTCTATTGACTTTGCTTGGCAGAAGATCGCAAAACAGATCACAGGACCCCAGGACGCTGTGACCGTCGTAAATATGAACCAGTTGCCAAGCATCTGAATTTTGATCACGTGACCATGTGAACAATGGTCATAAGTCGCTTTTTTCAGTGCCGTTGTAACTTTGAACGGTCACTAAATGAACTGTTGTAAGCTGAGGACAACTTGTAGTCACAAGTGGTTTGTCACTGCTTTTCCCCATGTTTTGTTTTGAATACTCTGGTCTAGTTTACAATCCTGAGATCTCCTTGTGGTCTCCCCTCGGTATCAAAAAGCCACATCTCGACCCAGCTTGGACAGATGCTGCCAGTTGTGACTCTCAGACCAACATCAATCATTCTGCTTCCGTTTCTTTATCCTGATGCCAATTTCCATGTTTTTTCCTTCGGTTTGAACTCAAAAGACCCAGCGCAGGCGAAACTCCAAATAAGAAAAATCATTTTTTTTTTCTCCCCCTGACTTATCTTGGAAGAGATTCTCCCCTATTTTGCCAAGGGGCATTTTGTGTGTGTTTCAAGAGCTTCTTAGTTTTTCAGGGATAAATCTCTTGTTTTGCTGGCCGGTAGAGGAAGAAACTGGAGTTGAGGGCCGTGCTTCTGTCCGCGCATCGCAATTATTAATATCTCTGAAAGGTCACATTCCCAGGATCTCCAGCTGGTGCCGTTGCCAAAATACCAGCTGTCCACTTGCCAAAACATGCAACGCATTTAAATCATCCCGACCTCACTCTTGGGGGGGGGGCAGATAGTAGGGGCAGCAGTACTGGATTCTCTTCTTTTCCCCTTCCTCTTCTTTTATTTTCTTATGAAAAGACCAGACAGGCAAAACTGCCTTCAGTTGGAGTGTTTCAGGCGTTGTGTGTTATTCTTGCTTTCCTTAATGGATTCCCCCCCACACACCATCACTTGGGAGGGAGGGAGGGAGGAAGGAAAGAGGGAGAAAGAAAGAAAGAAAGAAAGAAAGAAAGAAAGAAAGAAAGAAAGAAAGAAAAAAGAAAGAAAGAAAGAAAGAAAGAAAGAAAGAAAGAAAGAAAGAATGAATGAATGAATGAATTAAGGAAGGAAAAGAGGGAGGCAGGGAGGAAAGAAAGAAGGAAGGAAGGGAAAAGAAAGAAAAGAAGGAAGAAAGAAAAGGAAGGAAGGAAGAAAGAAGAGAAAAGGAAGAAAGAAAAGGAAGGTAGGGAGAATGAAAGAAAGAATGAAAGAAGAGACAGAAAGAAAAAAGGAAGGAAGGAAAAGAAAAGAAAAGAAAAGAAAAGGAAGGAAGGAAGGAAGGAAGAAAGAAAAAGAAAGAAAGAAAAGAGGAAGGTAGGAAGAATGAAAGAAGAGAGAAAGAAAGAAGAGAAAAGGAAGAAAAGAAAGAGAAGAGGGAGATAGGAAGAATGAAAGAAGAGAAAAAGAAGAAGGAAGGAAGAATCAAGGAAGGAAAAGAGGGAGGCAGGGAGGAAAGAAAGAAAGAAGGAAGGAAGGAGAAAGAAAGAAGAAAGGAAGAGAAAAGGAAGGAAGAAAAAGAAAGAAAGAAAAAAGGAAGAAAGAGTAGGAAGAATAAAAGAAAGAAAGAAAAAAGGAAGGAAGGAAAAGAAAAGGAAGAAAAAGAAAGAAAGAAAGAAAGAAGGAAGGAAAAAGAGAAGAGAGAGGTAGGAAAAATGAAAGAAAGAATGAAAGAAGAGAAAGAAAGAAAAGAAAAAAGGAAGGAAGGAAGGAAGAGAAGAGGGAGGTAGGGAGAATGAAAGAAGAGAAAAAGAAAGAAAGAAGAAAGGAAGGGAAAAGGAAGAAAGAAAGAGAAGAGGGAGGTAGGAAGAATAAAAGAAGAGAAGAAAGAAAAAAAGGAAGGAAAAGGAAGAAAGAAAGAAAGAAAAGAGGGAGGGAGGAAGAATGAAAGAAGAGAAAGAAAAAGAAAAAAGGAAGGAAGGAAAAAAGAAAGAAAGAAAGAAGGAAAGAGAAGAGGGAGGGAGGAAGAATGAAAGAAGAGAAAAAGAATGAAAGAATGAAAATCAGAAAAGAGGGAGGAAGGAGAAACAACTGATCAGAGTCATTTGGCTAAGATGGGCAGCTACAGAAATTATAGCAATATAGATGATAGATGATGATGAGAGAGGGGGGGGAGGTGTTATCTGTTCCTTTACTAAAATCATAGGAATGAGTTTGATGAGGAGATATGACCGTGTGCTCAATTGTCCTTCCTTCCTTCCTTCCTTCCTTCCTTCCTTCCTTCCATTGGAAGAAAACTCTTCATCATGGTTCATCCAAGCTGGGAATAAACATGACAACTGCTTTGGGAAGAAGGTTGTAGTTTATTTAAGAGAGGAGCCAGTCAGAAAGATGGCTCTGGCTGCAAAAGGAGAGAAAAAAGGACTGAGCACATGTAGGAAGTGGGTTTTTTATACCCTCTGGAGCCTTTTGCTTGGAGTTATTTCCTCTTCCTGTTTTGAGGCTATTTCCTGTGTCATGTAGTCTGACCTGAGTTTGGGTGTGCCCTTTGGCCTTTGTGAGTTAATCCTACCATGTCCTGTCCCAAGTGGGGTATGCAGATTTTAGGTCTTTGTCTTCCTAATCTCCTAGCTCCCTGGATTTACATCTGCATTTCTACACAGCTGGTTTCTGCTTGGAGGAGGGAGACCTGGGGCTATTAAGAAAAACTGGGCATGCTTTTTTGCCTCTTTAAGATCCTTTGAGGAAATATATTTTTCTGCCCTTTTTAATATTTCCTTCTCTGGGGGGAGGGGGCTGACTTTCCACAATCCCTGCTTTGTGCCGCAAGTGTGTGAATGACACACTTACTGGCACAAGATTAAAATTGATCTGATCAGGGAGACTTGGTAAACAAGCTTTAAAACTGTTAAGCCAGTGGTTCTCAACCTTTTTAATGCCGCGACCCCAACCGGTCGTAAGTCGAGGACTAAACCGGTCGTAAGTCGAGGACTAAACCGGTCGTAAGTTGAGGACTAAACCGGTCGTAAGTCGAGGACTACCCAAGTGGTCATAAGTCGTGGACTTTCCCTGCCCGGGAACACCGCACATGCGTGGTTCCGCCCCCTGCGCTGGCCGAGGCGTATCTGGCAAGCGGCAGAGACG